AGTCATCCGTTGGGAGTCATCCTTATAAAAGCCACGTTTGGGTGTAAGGAGAACCACGAGCTTGATCACGCAAGGTCCGCATTTTCTCAGGGACTACTGTACCACCCGCCCCCTTGGTGCCTACGCCAAGATAACAAAATATACTATGCTCCATTTTTTGTGCATGCAAGCTCTACTAGAATGCAACACGATGTTATAGATATATCGATGGCTGTAGTTTTGCTTCATTCCGATCGTCACTGATTATAGACCCTGAGCCCGTAGCTCCGACCGCGGCTCTCAAATTTTTCCCAGCATCCGATTTCATCAGAGTCGAGACTGGCGCCACCTGTGGTCGTGCATATGTCCTGCGGTAGTGGTTAAATTTATTACGCATTGGTATCGAATAAACACCAGAAAATCAACTTATGAACTTATTCGGTCTTTCCAGTGCATTTATGTTCACATCGCACAAGCCACGCACATTGAACCCTCGTGTGACAGCGACAGCGACAGGTGTTGGGTGAGGGTTACGTTTTGCACGCACGATTACCTGTCAAAGACGCATTTATTCATAATCAATAAGGACGCTCCCTGAACAAAAATGTTTACTATCGCATATCGTTCATAACATAGGGAACTTTCTTACTGACCCACGGTGATGTCATGCGGCGGGATTTAAAGCCATCAGAGTAACAAGGCTCTAAAGCTTCGTATTTTTAAATCAAGCTACGATGGGGGCATGAATTTAACCTCCTTGCATCAGCGAGCGGAAATTCCAGGGATGTGTTTGTGGGAGGTCCGCTAAGACTATGCACTATGCATCCAAGCTGAGTGGGCGCTCCACGATCGTTTACCGAATTAAGTTACAATACGGTGTATGGTAGCGATACTGGTCATGTTTAGGTTAAGGGTGATGCATGTCAACGCTAAGGGCGGGTCCGGAAGCGACAGGGGAGGGGCTTTGCTACTTTGTTGTTCATGGGAACCAGGCATAAATAACCCGCCGAAAAAGCGCCATCGTGTTGGCAAAGGTCGCTGCATTCTTCAGTATATGGGTGCAGGAAACGCACCGCACCGAGTTGTGAAAACTGGCATGTGCCATGCAACCATAATGGCCATGCCATGCGACGCCAGGCAGTTATATCAGGAAACCAGCAACGATGATTTACTTTGAGACCAGTCATCGACAAATCATAATTTTCTTTTTTCGGGCCGTTCGTATCATGTATACGGACATCGTCAATCGCAACAATTCAGAGGTGCATATAGGTATGAAAAAGGTGGTGGTAGTTGATGTGCAGAGGAGGAAAATAGTCCGATAGCAAGTTTTCAAAGTTGTTCTGCGTGCGCCGCACTAATTCGACCATCATTACGTTATCATTCTGCAGGCACAAGAATGTTAGCTAGCGCTGAACCAATTAACGCTGATATTTGACGAGATGTGGGCACTGTTATTCCTGGTTTGCATTTCAGCATGATAAGATTACGTTCTGCATCCTTATGACTTTGTCAGATAATACTGATATTGATGACAATAAAACATGCGAACACCGAATGTCGAATAGCTGCATAAGTTAATGATATCCAACAGCATATGGATATCATACGACGTATCCAACGGCATATGGGGAGGGGCTGGCTGTTCATGGATGGAGATACTATGGGCGTTGGGGCTGGAGTTCGGGCTTCCGGATCCCGGAAGGCCTAAAATGTTAGGGTGGGGGGGGGGAGGGGTAGTGGGTTTCGGCGTTCTAAACCGGGAGTGGGGATGGTGGGCCCAGGTGCTCCATGGCAAGGCTTTATCGGCTCACTCGTCATGAGGATTTGGCCGGACTGAATGAAAAAACAACTTTTTTGCCATGATAGAGGTTCAGACAGTGGCAGATAGTCTGATGGCTCAATAGGCCACAAATGGCTGCCCCGCTTCCCTATGGCTGCCAAGTTTAACCTCTCTGTACATCATGACCACTCACGCTTGGGGACCTTTTGTAAAGATCCTTTCAACCCTTTCGAACATATGGATTTCTGAGATCGGAGCTAACGCTAAGCAGTGCTTGTCGAGAGCCCTGACCCCTACTATCCGATCGCACAAATCCAAGTCAACGGCAGAATTTGATAGCGAACGCCCAACGTGCCGCCGTGCTTTGCATGGTCTATCCTGCCCTCTGACGTCACCTGACTTGTGGCGCGACCGCTGCGACCGGCCGCAGGGCACCTAAAGCGACCTAACCCCCCCCCCCCCACGGGTGATTGGATCGGAAGAAAAGCCCTCTAACCAACAGGGCTTCGGGAAAAGGGGCCCTTGAAACTAATGAGGGTCTCTGGCGCTCAGAGGTGGCATGTATCGTTCAGGGCCCGTTCTATGCGCTTAGGGCGCTACTGGCCACTTTGAGGCAGGCTCAACTGCTCCGGGCTTCTCTGATCACCACGACCTCACTGGGTCACTTGGGGCCTCGGAACGCTGAACAGCCCTGGTGACATTTACCAGTAAATAATAATACAAATATGCAGCTTACAAATATGCATCATTTGAGACATGAGCTGGCGCAAACACTGTTCGTCATAAGGCCCTATGTCGATGTAACAAACTGGGAGGATTCCTACACGTGGTGTGAGGTATATGAGTGGTCGGTATGAAAATGCGGAAGCCATCCATTTGGGCGCAGTATTTTTTTATTTTACTGATATTTTTATTATTATTTTTTTAATGTTTTTTATGATAGTCTTGATGTGCTCTCAGCGCAAACTCGCAGGAATGATATAATGGGGTGGAATTTGTGGCGTCCGGACCCAGCCACGCCGTGTGCGTGATGTTTGTTTCTGCTAGCTTGAGTTGGTCTGTTGACCTGTTTTCGCTCATTAGACCCTTGTCAGAGCCTGTGGACACTCAAAGTCAAATGCACACTAGTGCTTTATGTTGAAGCAACCACTGGGCGTTGCCAAGAAGGGCTGAAAACTAGCAAGCAGTCCATGTGATATGTAGATGATTGCTAATGTTCAGCTCTTTGCTGATGTTTAGAAAAATAAGATTTCATTATTTTTGTAAAGGAGTATTGAGAGGTGCTCAAACCACTGTGGATTCTTGTCTATTAACCATATGGGGATATATAATCAGCACATTTACTTTTACTTTTAGCTTTATTTGGCTAAGCATTTCTGGAATTGCCTTACCATGAAAACAATGAGGCACTAACAAGTTTAATTTTCTTTTTGCTTGAGATGAGATTAAAACAGTTCTAGAGGCTGGGGAATACATCTATATTTTTAGTACATATATGTATATGTGCACACACACACACACACACACACACACACACACACACATATATATATATATATATATATATATATATATATATATATATATATATATATATATATATATATATATATATATATATGATGTATCATATCATGCATCATATATGATATGATGCATAATATGATGCATCATATGATACATCATCATGCATCATCATGCATCATATGATGCATCATATATATATATTGATACATGCATGATGTATATAACTTATGTGACTGATGTACCTACAGGTTGCTCAAGTTTGGTTCACATGCTACCAAGTTTAAGCTACATGTCCATTGTACCACAACTGTTAGTACAGGGTGCAGCAGTACAGGGTGTGATTGCTGCAGGGTGCAGTTAGTGAACATGTACTTTTCTTAAATCAAAGATTGCTTTAAGTCTTCAGCCAGTTTTTTCTCAGTGTTCCAAGAAGTGCTATATGCTAACATTATGTCATTAACTTGTTTGCTTTCATTGCAGGTCGAGGCTATTCAACTAAAATTTTGGGAGTGTTTACCATAAGAACACCACTAGAAATGTGGCAAAAGTCCTGTGGTAAGAAAGTCATGGTCATTATGTTTGGGCTTAGGTCATTTTTAGTTTATTATTATTAACAACTCAGTATTGTGATCAGTATCAGTATCAGTATCAGTATTAATATCAGTATGGTATCAGTGTCAGTATTGTGAGGTGACTGTGTAAAGTAAGGCATAATTGACCTTTTCTAATCACAATTTGTTGGGAAAAGTCATGCATGTCATGCTATACAAGTCATGATAGAGATGTAAAAAATACATGGCATACATAGTGTGCATGATATACTATGCATAGTATACATATAACCATATTATAGATATGACTGTAGTACATCTCACCTCCGCATAAAACCATTTTGAGGCTAACAGTGTAAGTCCATTTATTATGGTCAGTCCACTCAGGATCACCAAGTATTACTTGTGAGCCAGCACTGTAGAACACTAGCTCCCACCTCCTCACTCACACCTGCACCCACCATGGCTGAGTCCCACCAGCCGCTGCTACCGCCCATTGCGACTGTCGACACCGGCACCCCGCTGCCCAGCGGCCGCTGCGCACTCCTATACGTGCTGACCTTCCTGAGTGCCATTGGCGGCTTCCTCTTCGGCTACGACACGGGCGTGGTATCTGGCGCCATGGTGCTCGTGCGCGCCGAGTTCAGGCTCTCGGACACGTGGCACGAGCTGATCGTGGCCGGCACGGTCGGCTCGGCATGGCTGCTCTCGCTGGCGGCCGGGCCGCTAGCTGACCGGCTGGGCCGCCGGCCTGTGCTGCTGACGGCCAGCGCCGTGTTCGTCGGCGGCGCGCTGCTGGCCGGCCTGAGCACGTCGCCGGCGGCGCTGCTGGCCGGCCGGCTGGTGCTGGGCGTCGGCATCGGGCTGGCCAGCAGCGTCGTACCCGTCTTCATCGCCGAGGCAGCGCCGGCCGACGCGCGCGGCGCGCTCACCACCATCAACTGCGTGTTCATCACGGGCGGCCAGCTGGCGGCGGCGCTGCTGTGCGGCGCGCTGGCCGCCGTGCCGCGCGGCTGGCGCTGGATGATGGGCTTGGCGGCGCTGCCGGCCGCCGTGCAGCTGCTGGGCCTGCTGGCGGTGCCCGAGTCTCCGCGCTTCCTGCTGGGCCGCGGCCGGCGGCGCGAGGCGGCCGCCGCGCTGGCGCGGCTCCGGCCCGCTGATTTCCCCGTCGACCTCGAGCTGCAGCGGATCGGGGCGCAGTGTGCGCGCGAGGCGCGCCGCCGTCCGCCCGCTGCTAGCCTGCTGGTCGAGATGCTGCGACGGCCGACCGTGCGCCGCGCGCTTCTGCTCGGCTGCGGTCTGCAGCTGTTCCAGCAGCTGACCGGTATCAATACGGTGATGTACTACAGCGCCAGCATCATCCAGCTGGCCGGCGTGCGGGACGTGTCGCTGGCCATCTGGCTGGCCGCTGTCACCGCCGCCGTCAACTTCGTCGGCACACTTGTCGGCCTGGTGCTGGTAGAGCGGCTGGGCCGTCGGCCGCTCACACTGGCCAGCCTGCTGGGCGCGGCACTCTCGCTGCTGCTGCTGGCCGGCGGCTTCCTGTTGAACGCGGCCGAGTCGCCGCCGGTGGTGGCGCCGCCCGGGTCGCCAGACTGCGACCGAGCCAACTGCGCCGGCTGCCAGGCGGCCGGCTGCGGCTTCTGTTTCCTGCCGACGCCGGCCGGCGTCACCAACGGCTCATGCCTGCCGTTCGTCTCGCCGGCGAACGCGTCGGCGGCGGGCGGCGCGTGCTCGGCGCCCGGCCTCGTCTGGGCGGCCGACTGGTGTCCGGCATCGCGCTCCTGGCTGGCCGTGCTCGGGCTCTGCCTGTACCTGATCTGCTTCTCGCCCGGCATGGGCCCGATGCCCTGGACGGTCAACGCCGAGATCTACCCGGCGTGGGCGCGCGGCACCGGCAGCGGCCTGGCCGCCTCCTGCAACTGGCTGGCCAACTTGGCCGTGTCGCTGACGTTCCTGACGCTGGTGCACGCGCTGGGACGCGCCGGCGTGTTTTTCCTGTACGCTGGCCTGGCCGCCGTCGGCTGGAACGTGTTCTTCCGGTGGCTGCCCGAGACGCGCGGCGTCCCGCTCGAGGACATGGCGGTGCTGTTTGGCGGCGATGGCGACGACCCGCCCTTGTCTGAGGTGAGAGGCGTGAAATGTGCCCCTGTCCCGAGGTGAGAGACGTGAGACCTGCTCCTGTCCGAGGCGAGAGGCGTGAGACATGCCCCTGCCCGAGGCGAGAGGCGTGAAACCCACCCCTGTCCAATGTGAGAGACGTGCGGCCCGCCCTTGTCCGAGGTGAGAGACATGATACCGTGAGATAATTGTGACTTGCGATTGGCTGTAGATCGGAGTTAGTCATTAGTCACCGTTTTGATCGCCCTGTTTGACTTGGAAGTACGATTTCATGTGTCTTTAAATACTTCTCGGTTGCTAGTCAGATCGAGGTTAAATACCAGACATCCGACACGCATGCCGAAGCGAACCTAGTGTATCCTATCTGGAACGGTCAAACTGATCTGCACGGGCGTATTTTCAGGATGATCACGGCGCAGACGGACTGCTGCAAGAGGATCCGCTAGAGCCACCTGACGACGGCCAGTTTGAAGAATAACCATGACGACCGGCCGGCCTGAGGGAGCCGGCAACGCTGCCAAGTCGCCGCGGTGATCACTGGTGATGGTGCGGGGAGGCCGCGGAGGGGACGGAAAGAGTCAAGGATAACCTCGGAAACCAAAGTATTTTTATACAAACAGGGCCAAGCATGCGAAGTTCTGCGGACTGCGAACAAATGCACGAAGTACGCGAACGGATAACATTAATGGAAATACAGACATTGATATTACTTCTGTCAACCAAGGACAAATATACCGTCAATTTTGTCGTGCGTGGGGCGGACGAGGTCGGGCCTTTATACGGGCATCTGTTTGCAGGATTGTCTTGGTTTGTAAGGAGGTAGTGTTGTTCCGGGTACCTGATGTCAGTGCTTCCGCGGCGCTCGGCCTGTCGAAGGGTTGTCGTCCAGCGCCGCGCCAGTGTGTTGTGATACCAGCTGCTGATGTGATCTCCGCTGCGTTCGTCGCGCCCCGCCGCCGAATCGCGGCCACCACGCTATAAACACGTCTTCTCTTTGGATTTATTCGCCGCGATGGACGTCCATTGAGCCGGCGACCCGTGGCGGCGCACCGGACTGCTCTAAACGACACGGCCGACGCCCGAGGGCACGGCCGGCCGACACTAGCGGAACGCACGACACGCAGAACAGGGCGGAGAGAGGCGACGCGGCCGACCGCTGCGCCGGCAAGCACGAGAGGCTACGGGGGAGGGTGAGACGGGGTCCCATCGGCCGCGGGGCTGCGACGGCTGATCAGCACGACGCGCCGGCAGCACACGCGGCTGACGGCTCCAAGGAGTTGACGCTAGTAAAATCGGAGAGCATCTCAACGGGCGACTGGTTACGTGTCGATAGTTCTGGAAGTGCAGTGAGGGCAACTAGCAATACCACTCAGGGTTGCGACGTACCCCGTCGAACGCCACGGACAGGATAAGCGAAGAACACCACGCGACTCGGTTGCTGCGAACGCCATTTCGCAGAACAGAAGACGTCTTGAAACACTGGAATGGTAGCTAGCAGGCGAGAGCGAACGACGTCTCCGGCCGCCGCAAAGGTATTCACACGCTATAGTGTGCAGCTCAGCTCATCACATGGGGCGCTCCCAAGCCCACTGTGATCCCGCCACACGTCCGAGACCGTCCTATACTGCACAAACCAGCCCGAAACGGCCCCGCCAGGGTAGTCATCCGACCGCAAGCTACCGATGCACATAAATTATACCCGCACGCCGGCGCCGCATAACTCAACAATACATGGCTATATCGGAACCAGGCCCCAGACTATCGCCTGCGGGTAGAAAAGAAGCCGTCAGCGACACTATCACACCAACAAAGTAATAAACCAGCAGACTTGCGCCCCCCAGAGCGAGGCATGGACTCGTCGGCGGCGCGGGGCCTCCCCCGGCCGGCCACGTGGACTCGGCGGCTGATTGCGCGCCTACTTCAGGTCCTCCTGTATGGTTTTCTTTATCCGGTTCAGCATCATGGTGGTCCACTGGTCGAGGCGCGAGATCGAGTCGTACTCGGTGACCGTCTCGGTGAACGCGTCCACGTTCTCCTCCTCCAGGTGGGTGCAGATGGTCTGTGGGACAGGGCGCAGGGCGTCGGCAGGAGCGCAAGACCCCGTCCGAAGTCGCATGGGCGGCAGGACCCGCACGTCGGAGACGCCACGGCCACCAGGCACACGGGTGCCGACATCCGCAGGTGGTGTGGGGGTCGGACTATCATACAACGCTCGTAGTGGGTTCTGGGAAATGACTGACGACTGGAACTGACAACGCATCAGTTCCAATCAAGCCCCAATTATGCTGGGGACGTGCCCCACTGTACCCGCGTGTGACCGGATAACACCGGACGCTGTTATGACCACGGACAAGGGGCTATATACCAGGCGAATCACCCGTCTGGTTATGAAGGGAATCCGCCTGTCAACAAAACCACGAAGGGCAACGTCACCAGCAATGAAAACAGGTCATACACCTCGTCCTCCCCGTCCTGGGGAGCGATCGCCGGAGCGTCTCCACCGCTATCCCCGCGCCCACCGGCAGCGCCCACCCCACCTTGATGAGCTTGCACTCGCGCGAGTCCTGGAACGCCGGGTACATCTCCTGGTAGCGCTGCACGGCGTTGTTGGCGTTGATGACGTCGATGCACAGGTGGCAGAGCAGCGCCCGGAAGAAGTAGTCCTTGGCGCTGTACTTCAGCAGCGAGCTCTCCAGGGAGGTGCCGGCCACCTGGCGGCCACAGCGCGCGCGCCGTCAGGCATCGCAAGGGGGGGGGGGGAGCAACGGGCTCCGGAGCCGAGGGGAGAGCAGCAAGTGACACTCAACGGGAGGGGGGGGGGGGGACTGAACCCTCTCAGCGTTGGTGCTTACAAGGTGTCACTGGAGGTATCCAAGTGGAACGTTGCTAGCTGCGTCTAGGCCAAGTTTTGTCTGAAGCGGGCAAACCTTGAAAACCCTCGTTTTTTTGGACTAGAGCCCTTTCGAGCAGAAATGATCATTTCAGGGCAATGGGACGAAGGAACATGATTAACGGTCGGGTAGGCTCACATGCGCCTGGGTGGCCAACCGCCGGGCTTTAACCCGCGCATGCGCGCTGGGTACCCGGTTGGGGTCCCTCTTCCCACGGGGCCCTCGGCCCACTCGTGGCTGTTGCATGCAGCCTGCCCCGGACAAGCGGGGTGTCGCGAGGATGCAGGATGAAGCGAGATAGAGGATAAGAGGGACGGATCGGGCTTTCACCTACGGCTACCTGGAGAGAACTTGGGCGAAACTCATTACTCCCACAAATGCTTCATCGCCAGTCAGCGGCAAAACACGATTAGAAGCCTTAAAAAAACATCAAACCACATACAGATGATAATGTCTGACGTTCGGAGGCTCGACTACAAGGCGGCCATTCTGCGCACACTCACATGGCTGGCCTATTTCCGCTGGGTCTAGTCGCAGCTCTCATGAACCATTACAAGCAGGATTCATCGCTGCAGCTACGCTGTAGTTCGAGTGTGAGCAAAGCTCGGGTTCATATACGCCAAAACAGCGAGCACGCGCGTAAGGTCATAACGTGGACCTTGAACTATCAGCCGAGAGGGAGAGGCGCTCGTAAGAGATCACCTCATAAGCTCTCCGCGGGTGGAGGCGACACGAAATAAGCCCGTGCTCGACAGTCAAGAACTCTCACGTCCTGCTCAATGGCACCTCCTGGCGGGATATATATATATATATATATATATATATATATATATATATCTATATATCTCTCTCTCTCATCTTCTCTCTCTCTCTCTCTCCCTCTCCCTCTCCTCGTCTCTCCCTCTCCCTCTCCCTCTCCCCTCCCTCTCCCTCTCCCCTCTCCCTCTCCCTCTCCCCTCCCTCTCCCTCTCCCTCTCCCTCTCCCCTCCCTCCCTCTCTCTCCCTCTCTCCCCTCCTCCTCCCTCTCCCTCTCCCTCTCCCTCTCCCTCTCCCTCTCCCTCTCCCTCTCCCTCCTCTCTCCCCTCTCTCTCTCTCTCCTCTCCTCTCTCTCCTCTCTCCTCTCCCCTCCCTCTCCCTCTCTCTCTCCTCTCTCCCTCTCTCCTCTCTCCTCTCTCTCTCTCTCTCTCTTCCCTCTCTTCCCCCTCTCCTCTCTCTCTCTCCTCTCTCTCTCCATCTTCTCGCTCCATCTCTCTCTCTCTCCTCTCCTCGCTCCTCTCTCCTCATCTCTCTCTCTCTCTCTACTATATATATATATATATATATATATAATATATATATATATATATATGTATATATATATGTTAGCCTTAAAAACTTAAACCACACATATATAATATACTATATATTATATATATATATATATATATATATATATATATACATCGGCATCAGCCCACCGCCGGCAGCGACACAGTCACCCGCACTGACCTGGTCGTAGATGCTGATGGCCTTTTCGTAGTCCTGCGTCTGGGCGGCGAACTGGGCCACCTTGAGCAGGCACTTGTTGGCCGACGAGGTGGACTCCTCGCCGCGGAAGTAGTCCGCCGCCTTCTCGTAGTGCTTGATGCACTTGTCCAGGTCAACTAGCTCCGTCTCGTAGATCTCGGCGATCGTCTGGTGGTGCTTGGCCGCCACGGTGAAGCGGCCCATGTCCGTGAAGATCTCAATCGCCTTCATCAGGCAGTTGACGGCCTCTGGCGGTGCGTGGGCAGGCGTCAGCGCGCCGGCCGCGACGCCACGGCGGGTGGGCCGCACCAAAGCGGCAAGGGCAGGGGGTCGCTAGGCGGCTCAGGCGCAGCGGTCCTGCCTTCATCTCCCGCCCTAGGTTCACCCTTTCTCCCCACAGCCATGCAGACAGCCCTAGAGAATATGACGCAATCATGTCCGTGCAGGAATTCAGCACGAAAGCTTGTTGGAGCGCGCACTGCTCACTGAGCGTCGTCGGCCGATTCGGTGAGAGCCTCTATATGAACAGCAGATCGGACTGGCGGCTTCTGCCAGAGGGCTGGGCACAGATTAGCGCACGGAGATACCGCCGTACGGGTCGGCCGCACGCGATAAGGTCAGGTTCGCCACCGCTCAGTCCCCCCGCAGTGAGATCGGAAACCGACGACACTCAGAATCAAATTTTTGTGTTTATATCTTTGTTTGCTCGACAACCATTCCCGAGATGGCTTTTCAGGTTTCGGCTTGCTACTGCGTTCGCTAACCTCGGGTCGTTACATCGCTAACTCGTTACGAAACGTTGCAAAAAATGCTATAGAAGGCCATGCTACGAAGTAAACTATAAAATACGATACTACGAACTACTCCAAAATATGATAATATAAAAATACGAAACGATGAGAAACGGCACGATAAACACGATACCATAAAATTCGAAGCTACAAACCGTCCGAAGTCGAAACGATAAACGAAAAAAGATCACACTTGTACATACATATGGCATATAATCACAAAGGCAACCAGCATGGGCTAGAAACTAAAGAACGTGACCAAAACATAAGCGTTTTGAAACATCAACTTTCAATCCCTCAGAAGTCAGAGATGAAAACATGGTGGTGGCCGGAGGAGCGGTTCCAAGTTGCCGCGGCACGAACAAGAAAGGCTCCCTTGGTGGCTTCCAACTGGCACCTGGGCAGGTGGAGAGAAACTGGCATGGAGGGGCGCGCCGCCCCTAGCAAAAGAGAGGAACGTGGCTTAAAAAGAGGTTGGACGGCGGGGGGGGGGGGTATTTGTGTCATAGGGTGTTGAACACTTTCAGCACGCCCCTCTCCTTCACGAGGTCAGGAATTCAGGGCCAGCCTAGATATTCCAGAGTCGGTGTTGTATGCTGGCTGCGTTTTATGCCAGAGACAATCCTGGAGGCAAAATTTATAGTTTTTTTTAATCCTCTGCACCTGGCACTTCATCACGCCACCCTACACGCAAACACAGTAAGGCATATATATATATATATATATATATATATATATATATATATATATATATATACATATATGGAAAAACGTAGTCTTCGATGACAACTTTGAGAACATCACGTGTGAAGCAATGCCTGAGACGGTGCAGCAAGATTAGAATTATGTTGCATGCATCTTTGCACGACTTTGGACGACATGGTTCTGCCACGAAAGCGTCGATTCTACGGTGATGCCGAGCAATTTTATGTGCCATGAAGGTGAGATAGCCTCTCCATTGATTGTACAGTGAAAATTACAGGTTTTCTTTAAATTGCGTCTCGCACTTATGAGAACAAAGTCGGTTTTCTGTTGTTCGTTTTCAGAAAGTTTGCGCTAAAGCAAGCCTGGAGTTCCCAAATAGATAGTTATAGACGATGTTTTAGTGTTTCGAGACTCTGCTTGTTGGAAGGAGCATAGTCCAGGAGCTGAGTGTCATCTGCATATGGAATGAGGCGTCTATGTGGCAGGTAACTGGGCAAGTTGTTCATGAATAGCGTAAATCATAGCGAACCGACTAAGGATCCCTGGGGCACTCTGTGGGTTACCAGTAGGGTCATCAGTCCTCCACGCACCACCCGTCTCCGACCACTTAAACTACTTTTGAACCAATCGGGGTCCATGGCCTAATCTGTTATAGTGTCTGGTGGCGAGGTAAGCACGCCGCGTAAACGATCGCGTACACCCAAAGTAAGTTGGCTGCCCGACAACGCAGACCCCGTAAGTTGCGCGCAAGGCATTATAAAAGCACTCGACACTTTTACCCATCACTGATCAGCCGCGTAGCGCAGACGACGATGACTATTCAACCCAGTGAATGGACAAAGGGCTGGTCAGAAAAAAAAACACCCAGACCTTGCCGAGAACGGAAAGCTTTGATATGAATAAGAAAGGCCCCAAATCCTGTTTTCAGCATCAATGATGTAATGCTAGCAATAACTCACCTTTAAGATACCAGGAAGAACTTGTTAAACAATGGCATCAGTCAACTTCTGGGATTGTAATAATGCTGGACGCCTCGACCAATTGCCGTTGTCACGAAAATGTCACATGTCACGACTTGTGAAATGTTTCTGTGAACCTTATGAAATATAAATATAAACAAGATGGTGAGATCAAGACGTGAAAATGTGAAATGCCAGACAAAGTGCCAGACAGAATGTGAAACCATACCAACACTAGACAGTTGACTGACAACAAACGAGGCGCTCCCGCAATGCACAATATTGGGGAAGTTGAAGTAGGATACGCATGAAAATGTCCGCCCGCCAGTCGCATCTTGTTCCAGTTAAAAAGTCTCACACCTACCATTCGGGTCGGACTTTTTGTAGCAATTTCCAGCATCGACAAAGTTGGTGGCGGCATCATGCCGGTTCTGGTTCTTCAGGCTGAGGTTGGCCACCTCGCAGAAGGCATTGCCAGCCGCGCTCCATTTCTTGGCCATCTTGAACATGTTGGCGGCGCGGTGGTACATCTCAGATGCCTCTTCCACCCTGGAGCCACCTCTGCAAGTAATCAGTAGTCACAATCACGGCAACATTCTGCGTTCCTGCAGGCAAAACAATGGTCGGGTATGGTCAGGCCACAGCCTACCAAATACATAAATCTACAGAAATGGTCATCTCAGTTAACATTTATACTATTCTCAGGGTGCACACATGTTTCCAAAGTCAAACTATGCATGTGACCCCAGCAGCAAATACAAACTGAACACAACATCATGAACTTCATGGGCATATGTGGCTGACAGCAACATCAAAGAACACTTTCCAAGGCAATGGTCCAACACAGCAGATCACAGATTTTTAAACATGTCAATATTGTTATTGCTAACTGGACCCTAGATGATATGTTCTAACATGCCATCTACAATATGTTTATTCCATATTGAACAGTGCTTTTTTGACCAATAGTGACAAAAAGAGCAAAATCTTGCACACAAAGATATTGCCAACTAATTTATAACATGCACTGCTTTCCAACCAGAATCATGGCCTCTGATTTGGCATGCCCGGCTTCAACTTTTGATGGACACAAACAACTAAAAATGATAGTGGCAGACAAAAACCTGAATCATAAGTTGACAACTTTTGACAAATGAGGCTCAACTTGAAACATATCTATGGCCTTCAACAATAAAATAAATGCCTATATATATATATATATATATATATATATATATAATCATATACCTTCTCAACTAATCCAAACAATTCACATTCTTTGCCAGTCATTCAACATGAAAGGACAAAGTCAAAAACTGCACCCAGCACCAGAAAGCTTGTAATAACTTGCTTTAACCTAATGTGCTTCTGTTGGATGAATAACAGCTGCTGACATGAAAATGATGCAATAATTTGGAACATCACAGGCACACAGACCACAGAACATCTTTTATGCAAATGAAGCCATGTGATATTTCAATATAACAGACAGAACACAGCAAGGGAATAAGATCACAACAAAACATAAAAAAACATCAACAAATTAAAAACAGTGTGTATAGCAAGGTGTTTTCTGCTTTACTCATGACTGGCAGTGTGTTATCTACCATATTTTCCTTTTCTATGACCATTCCATTGCCTACCTCCACCATGTCTCCTGCCCTGCTATCACCAGGTGATAAGCACCAGGCAAGGCTGCAAATAGTGCTGGGCATGACACATCAGCATCAGATAGCATCAATGAGCATCTGCCTAGCACTGGCAAGATCTCACTGAAAGTACCATGCTTTGCCATCTGGATCAACTGGCCACCGCTGGGCCTGAGAGAATTGGTACCATGGCCCGACAAACCCCAACCCCAACCACAAACCCCAACCACAGAGCCTGTCCTGACAGCCTAAGTTGCATCTATTGACTGCCATTTGCCCCTACTGCTATGCTCCACAAGCAGGAGAATCACACTGAATTTGCCCTTCTTTGATAGCAATTTACCATTCTAAATTACCATGGTATGAGTTACATCTTCACTTTACCTAATTTACAGCATCTAAAAATAAATTTAGCAAATTGTGATAAGAGTGACAGAACCTCACAGCATTAGAGCCATCATGCTAACTACAAACATATCTGGTGCCTTTTTTGCAGGTGGTTTATTTGATCAGCACAGCAGCAGAAGATGGAGAAGGCAAAGATCATCATGCTTGCACAAGATCCTTTGCCAGGGCTGTTTGATATACTGGTCAAACTCTGGCTACAAGAGTTGCACAGGCAGCCTCATATCAGACTTGGCAGGATAATATAGCAGTAACTGAGATCATCATGATTGAATTGATACAGCTGTGACATATTTCACCAATGTGCAGTGCTTACCTTTATGGATTTCTACCACTTTGTTTTTTAAGCACTTCAAATGAGTTCTATAGTTCCACCTGACCTCTGCCCAGTTTATTACTTGCCCAAGGTATCATAAGCTGCCCTTATTGAGGACTTCCTGCCCCATATACATATATATATATATATATATATATATATATATATATATATTCCAATTTAGCTCACAGCTCACACATATACATGCTTAACTGATGCCCTGATCATTGAAAACATGTGGCATATGCACAGGAATTTGCACTCTAACTGAGGGCTCAGACAGAATCCAGGTAGTTCTTTCCATGCACCACAGTAAGGCAAGTGCTACACTTTCCCACATATTTGGGGGCCTACACCCACTAAACCTCCCATGGTGATTGTGACATACAAATAAGGATGACAAGCCAACTAATGACTCAAATCTGTATGTACAGAATTTCCTCAGACACTGGAAGGCACATACCTTATAGCGCACAACTTACCCAAACAGAGACCCCAGGAAACCTTTTGAAGAATTCAATTTCTTCTCAGCTTCCTGCATGAGCTGCATTGCCTTTTGTTCATCTGACATGGCTTCTATTCTTTTGTTACTGCGATGATATGAAGTAAACGAAGCAATTAAGGAATTGGACAAAGCTGATCTATTTACGCAGCTCACGCGAACCACAAAGGGTGTTTCCAAGCTGGAAATCTCACAAGGGAAGAAGACCTTCAGACCTCCCCTTCACGCCAATCTCAGCCTCTGTGAAGTTCAGGCCAGGGCGTCAGGTCACGAAAAACAACATGGCAATAGGCAACTGCGAAATATCGACAATCTCCCCAACCTCACTAAAACAGCCGCAGATCACCCCACTGAATTACAGCGGTGGGCCGAGTGCTTAATAAACAGAACGAACCATGTTATGCTTCCAAAAGTTGTTTAATATGACCTCAAGTTAGGCAACACAGTGTACCAAATTTCAGGCAAAACGCACTTAATTACGTCATTGTGTAAGAAAAAGCCACTAAACCGAGAAGATATTGTGAGCGAAATGCAAGGGATCGATTCGTCACCCTTGAGCGTATCTAAAGTGCTGTCTTGATTCAAACGCGAGGGAGAGCGGTGTAGAAGCCGTCGGACCACGCCTATAGAGAATGGAAATGGATTACAAGTTTACCAGTCCTAAACAAAATGTTAAACACCTCATTTTTGGTCCTTGGATACGTTCGATAGGCTGCTATTTCACCAGATGTGAAAAGCCCGCACATTTGTCTATGACGCCATGTCCTTCTGACGCCATGGTAAAAAGGGAGACGGTTTAAAGGCGATAAGCACGTTGACGGGACGTTTTGACCACATGCGTGTTGTCGAAATGCAAATAAGTCAAAATGTTCACGAAATGAAAACTTATGGGCGAAAATGTTACTAATCCGTATGCTAAGGTGGCGAAAGATGATAACGGCAATGAGACAACAACCGAATATCTTTTTGACAAAATGTAACTTTATAAATGACAATTAAACAAATGGAAAATCGCTGAATGCTTCATCATCCGAATTCGTCTTCGCTGAAATGCGAATTTGACAAACGGCACTCAGACGGACTGCATACATACGTTGGTTGGGCAATGAGTCAAATTCATTTGGTAGAAACTGAATGAACGATTTATAATTTTCTAAAATGATAACTTACGCAAACGGTTTGGGGCTGCCTGCCAATTACGTTACGCATTGATCGGAAGTGTGTTGGTGGGGCGCGGCCAAGTGCGCATGCTCAAAATTACGTCTCGTAACTTGTACTACTAAGAGATTCAAGTGTTTAAAGGCAAGTTTTTCGGAAGCGTCATCATTTTCGTTCACCGGTGGGCCAAGGTTGCAAGCTAGCCACTAGCCGCTGTGCAGTCCAGTGGCCCTGCAGTCTGTGGAGACTGCAACGCCTAGTGTCGAGTTTTTTTGTGCTAGGATTTGCTAGCGCGCATGTTAAAAGGAATGTGTCTAGTGTCATTGATTTTCCAAATATACGCCTGAAAAAATGGTTAATTTTGGTGCATAACACGCGCTCGGGTGGGGGTCAAATTGACCTCCCAAAGGTTTTTCCAGAATAGTTTCCGAACGGCGCGGCATAGCCGCGCCAAATTTTGCATAGCTGTAAACAATTGAATAGCGGATCGCTTGGCATAAACAATTAGATGTGCCTTGTAAAGTTGCTGACCTATGGCAGGTCAAAGTCAGACCATGGTTTCAGCGAAGGCAATTTCTAGGCAATCCTTCAATCTAATCCAACAACTGAGTGTCATACGAAGCCACACATCTCTGAAATACATTCTTTGGCAACACAACAGTTGAATGAGCAAATTAAATTGACCTTAGGTCAGGTATGAACGTCACACCAAGGTCAAAACCAGCCGGTTTTGTTATTCTATGGCTTGCTGTATGGGATAGTTTCTGGTGTTCATTTTTAATTTATTGATGGTAGGAACCGCATTATACATCTTCCATGGATTTCTCAGAGGTCAGAGTAGGCAATTGACCTAAAATGACCCAGGTCAACATTTTGTTTTATGAACATACTGCCTAGCGTAACCTTTGTCGCTTAGTCAAATGCAAAACTAAAAGCAATCTTGCATGATTTTGGCCACCTTGACCTTCAAAAGGTCAAACGTCACTGAACCTGAATGAACATGCAACCTTTTGCTTGGAAACAGTTATCTAGGTTCTGGGGGCACTTTGGAGACCAACCTGGAACTTGACCTTGTTTGACCTTTCTGACTCCAAGATCATAACCTAGGAACCTGAAACTTTGACCCAAGTGAACTCACGTACAGGTCAACACATCCTGTAAATTTGGTGTCTCTAGCTCTCTTGGTTCTCGAGGTCTCAGGGGGGGGGGGGTCAAATTAACCCCAAACCCAAGCGAAGGGTATCTAGCCGGCCACCCGGGCGCGTATTAAGTGTGCGTTTGGGTCTTGCAACACTTATTATTCATTTATTATTATCGATCGCAATGATGGCTGCGCATGAACAAATACAATGCTAAAAAAATAAACCAATCGGAAGACAGAAAGGGTTGAATGCACCGGCTTATATGTAGCGAGTACCTGCGCGCTGACATAACCACTACCTCGGTTGCTAAGGTCTCGTATAGGGAGAGCGCTGATGGTATACAGCGGTACGCGCTTAGACAACAGACAAAACCAAGCGGTACGCACTTAGACAAAACCCTACTTAGATAAGACCCTTACGTAATTCGAGACAGAAAAATACGATAGCCTGAACATGCCTGGTGTACCAGCGACAGCGCAAAAACAATTGCAGCGCATGCGTTCGAACGCTGAATCCGGTGCACATGCATTCTGAACTCGGTTATTAACGCGCGCTCGGGTGAGGGTCAAATTGATCCTCTGAAGGTTTTTCCCAGAATGGTTTCTGAACGGCGTGGCGTAGCTGCGCCAAATTTTTCATAGCTGTGCACAATTGAATAGCAAACCGTTTGGCAGCAAACATCTAAATGTACCTGGTAAGGTCGCTGACCTATGGCAGGCCAAAGTCAGACCATGGTTTCAGCGAAGGCAATTTCTAGGGAATCGTCCAACCCGATCAAAAAACGGAGTGTTAGACGAAGGCATACATCTTTGAGATACTTTCCTAGATAACACAACAATTGAATGAACATAATATTAATAATGTAAATAAATTTCCCCAGGGTCAGGTATGGAGGTCAGACCAAAGACAAAACCAGGATGTTTTATGACGCCATGGCTTGCTGTATGGGGGTAGTTTCTGGTGTTTACTTCGAATTTATTGATAACGGAAACCGCATTATATACCTTCCAGGGGCTTCCTTAAGGCCGGATAGGCCAATGACCCAAAATGACCCAGGTCAACATTCTTTTTTAGGAATATACTGTCTAGCGTGATCTTTGTCGCATATTCGAACGGAAAACACACAGCAGTCTTGTGTGATTTTGGTCCCCATGACTTTCAAAAGGTGAAAAAGGTCAGTGACCTTCCATTTGGAGACCAGGCTGGAATTTTACATTGTTTGACCTTATCTGACCCGAAGATCATGATCTAGGAACTTTAAACCTTGATCTAAGTGAGTTCACGCATACGTTAATACACCCTGTGAATTTTGTGTCTCTTGCTCTCTTAGTTCCTTGGATCTCAGTGGGAGGTCAAATTGACCCCCCCCCCCCCACCCCACCCGAGCAAAGGGTATCCAACTGGGTACCCGGGCGCGTGTTAGTTTCAGGTTATAGGAGCCTTCATCTAATAGCCTTCATCTCCTTGACCTGACATGACAAATGTGATGATGTGATGTGATGTGACAAATGTGACCCGGGGTTACATCTGCCGACCTCTACTAAAGTCCTCCCGATCGAGGTGTTAAGAGGTGTTCAATGTTAGTGTCCGCATTCCCGCACCTTATTTAGTCCTCGCAGTTACCGCGGGGTGGGCCTGAGTTGACCTGTAAAAATCGCATTGGTCATTGTTCGGTCACACTCACCCGGTACAGTGTGACGAGGGCTTTCCAGTGCTGTAATTTCCATGGATTTATCTCGCTTGATCATCGATATCTGAAGGGAGCTGCTGAAACCGTCACTCATTTAGCGATGTGAAAGTGCGCCCAAATCGGCGACGGTGTTGGATCCAGGATTTCGTCAAGCAGATGGGCATACAACATCATGTTCCCTCTGGAAATATTGGTCCCCTCCAAGAAACTTCTCGGATTTCGGCAATATAGTTTTAAGATTTCTATGATCCCTTTTACGGGGAGTCGCCTCATCGTGCACAGGCCCACAGGTCTAGATGTGGTACGTGGCCCGTGGCCATACATAAGCGCGCGCGTTCGTTTTCTCTACATCATGGTGGACCCTGCCGTCTTCATGCCAAGCATTTCGGAGAAGATCTGGAACCATGAGTTCAAACTGAGCGGTTAATGCTATCAAAAATTAAGTACGACAGTTGATCCACATGTTGACTGCGGTGCTGTGACCAGCTGATGGCTTATTGCTAATGCCGATTTGCTGAGCTCCGAATTGACTATTGCTGATTTAATTATATGATATAGAAGAACAATACACCATAAATTTAGCAGCCAAGGGGAAAAAAGATGCGACGTAGCCGGCGCGTAAACATTCATCAGAGCGTATGGGGACGTTACTATCTGCGGGCAAGGCTCCAAGAAAATTTTCATCTCGTAGGTGTCGGATTTGTGTGCATTAATTGCAAGAAGCAGCCAGCGGATCCCAAAAATGCTTTGTATTTGAGCCACGCGGCACGTCACTCCAGCTGCCCCCCAACAGCGTACACAGCTCGGTACCCTACCCAGCACTGCTCTCGCCAAAAACGTGTCTCTCTCCGCTGTTCCTCGCCCCTTGCGCCCACTTCGCCGCTTCCGCCGCGCATCAGATGAAGGTTTCCCTTCACATATGTTCATTTGGGCAGACTCGTACACGCTAGCAGGCGAAATTCCATAAGTGACGGAAGTGGCGCTGTGCTGGCGCCCGCGAGCACATGTAGGGCTTTTAGAAATTGAGTAACGTCCTTCGGACCCTATGGAAAGAGCAAAGCATCAATATGAAAGGCCCGGGGCGATCAAGAGTGCCCCACCGATTAACATGCTAGGTCCCGTCAATAGTGTAAGCCCTCCGAGAACATGGAAAATCCAAGACCAGTGTGGACGGCACCTGAGCGACCGACGGTGCCACGGCATCTCAACATAGAGGATGCCGTCAACAGCGTAGGATCCTCCGAACAAGCGAGATAAACCCAAGGACAATCAACAACAAGGTGAACCCAAGATTAGGACAATCCACAGAGCCAAAAGGAAGAATCAAAACCAAAGTGGCGGGACCTGAGCGAGCCAGGGTTCCTGGGCAGGTTCAC